GCTGGACCAGTTTTCCTTCCACTCCGGAGGGAAGATACCACCATGAACAAAGTGGTTGCCAGAGGTTTATTTTTCACTTTTCCTTCTAGAGACCTGCTTTCCATCTCTAGGCGGTCTCCCTGCCCTCAGCTGCACCCCATGGCTCTTGCCCAAGCCACAGAGATTTGGGGGAGCAGCAAGTACTCCTATAGGGATGGTGGGAGGTGTTGAGGCGTTGAGCAGTGTGAACAGACTCTGGTGTGCTTGGGAATAAGTAGAGTAGGACTCATTCTTCTTTACATAGGGGCCTTTAGGGTGTATGAGGGAAGGGGGTAGTGGGTTTTGTTGGGTTTTTTCCCCATCAGTGGAATGTCACCACTGCGAGGAACAGCTCACCTGTGTAAGTACATCCCTGGGGAAACTTCTGCATATGTCCAGGTTAAAGGCATCCTAAGTAATAACAGCCAGCAGACAGAGAAAGCAAACACTGTCTAGGATCCTCGGATCTTCACTGAAGTTAGATTGAAGTTTTACACCTGCTGGGAACCTGTTTGTTTATAAGCAATATTTTAAAATGCTTTGGAAGGGGTGATTAAGCTGCTTTCAGATGCTTTTCCTCCCTCCACTGACTGTAGAAACTGTAGGTCATACTCATCTGACCACATAGAGACATTCATGGTGTAGATCTGTCTCCTAGAGTCCTCCTTTTGTCTGTTCCTCAACCCCAGACACCTGCCCGTGGCATCTTGCCTGCCATCCTAAACCCACACTCTCCATAAAGATATCACTCAGAGGAGGTCCCTCTCCACCTCCCAGAAGAAACCCATGGCATAAGAAAGAGAGGGCAAGCGGCAGATGACAGTGAGGAAAGGGACAAGGCTCAGTCAGCAATGGCCAGCTACAGCGGTGCTGCTCAGCACCATGGACCATGGTGGATGGGGCACTGGTTCAGGTCATTGTTGGCACCTGATGGAAGATGAGTTTGGGCAATGCCAGCAGTACGTCTGCACTGCCAGGAAACCCATGTGTTGGAAAGCAACTGGCACTAAGCCCATTGCTTTTACTTTGGAGATCTGTCACCCCTAGTGTAATGGATGGAGAAACAGCAATGCATCTGAAAGCAGGATGTGGCCCAGGCTGCTGCCAACCTTAGGGAATTCCCTCTGAATCACCAGCTGGTGAAAAATCACAGAATGATAGAATGGTTTGGTTGGGACCTTCAAGACCATCCAGTTCCAACCCCCCTGCCATGGGCAGGGACCCCTCCCACCAGACCAGGTTGCTCACAGCCCCATCCAACCTGGCCTTCAACACTCCCAGGGATGGGGCAGCCACAGCTCCTCTGCGCAACCTCTGCCACTGCCTCACCACCCTCACTGGGAAGAATTTCTTCCTCATATCTCATCTAAATCTTCCCTCTTCCAGTTTAAAGCCATTGCCTCGTGTCCTGTCACTCCCTGCCCTTGTCAAAAGTCCCTCCCCAGCTTTCTTGTCAGCCCCTTTAGGCACTGGAAGGCTGCTCTAAGGTCTGCCCGGAGCCTTCTCTTCTCCAGGCTGAACAACCCCAACTCTCCCAGCCTGTCCTCACAGCAGAGGTGCTCCAGACCTTGGATCATCTTTGTGGCCTCCTCTGGACTCGCTCCAACAGGTCTGTGTCTTTTTGCGTTGGAAGCCCCAGAAAAAAGGTTGCTGAACTGTTCAGTTTTACTCCAGGTAATTTTTAACATGGGCAGTTCACTGCTCAGTGCTTGCCCCTCCCAAGAGAGGCAGGAGAGGTGACCCCCCCCCCCGCCCCCGGCATGCACTGAAACCTCCTGTGGGATGGTGTGGGATGGTGTGGGATAGGGACCACCACCCCAGGTGAGGTCCCGGCTTAACAGGATGCAACCTGGGTAAACCAGGATGCTGAGTTTGACACAGAACTCCTGTGGTTTTACTCAGAGCTCCTCAGGGAAACCCCACGAGGGGACTGATCACAATTTGGAGCCCGTCAGCAGTCTGGGGACAGTAGTGGGGAGCAGAAAGCCACTCTGGTTCTAGTCAAAACAGAGACCTTTTGGGACAATGAGATGTGACCATCGGTCATGGAGTAGGCCAGTGACACAGGTGGCTCTTCCCAGTCCTGTGTACTCCAGCTCTAAACTGGTCCCGGTATGGATTTCAGTGGAGTTGTACAGGGCTTGTGCAGTGGTGGGTGAGACCTTCAGGCTTGTTGAGATTTCAGGAGGAGATTTCCTGGGGAACAGGTGCCTGCCCCTTCCCTCCCGTAACCTCTCCAGTTATTGCCATCTGATGTGGTTACGGAGATGGGGCCGCTCAGCTCCCTGCTGGCTTCCAACCCCGCCGGCGTGCAAGCAACCCAAAAGTGGGCAACACCTTGCAACCCTTAGAAAACTCCCAAAAGAATATAGGGAGGTAGCTGAGGATATCCAGCCTCAAAAGTGTCTTCAGTGCTGCTGATAATTATTATGAGAAACGATTGCCTGTCTTTCCAGAAAAACTGATAATTATTATGATGAATGGTTGCCTCTCTTTCAGGAAAAAAGTTGAGAGACCCAGTGAAATTCTTCTTTGTTTTGTCTTAAAGTTATTGCAATGATTTGTTAGCAGTTTTACATTTCACAGTGTCGACACGTTCTACATGCTCAGGAGGAATAATCTCAGATAAAGGTTTAAACTTCTTTTTCTCTTCCTTTCCTTTTTAAAGGATCTGAAAACAGCTGTGAAATGTGAATAGATTTTAACTATTAGTCCCGAGCTGCCAAGACGTTATTTCCTGTAGCTTTGACTCATGCAACTGAAGAAATAAATTGGATCAGAATATTGTTTTGTACCGGCGATTTTTGTCTCTCTCTGCCACCCCCAGGCTTGTCTCTATTTAAAGCCAAAATACCAAGGCATACTCTCATATGCGTTCATTTTTACTGCTGGTG